AGAGTGGGCCAGACATACTTCTCTGATCCCGGACCCAGACCAGCCCACGATCCGCCCAAGTACGAGTCGGCTCTGACTTGGCCCACAGCCCGGGAGTCTTGGGCCGACACATGAGTTTTGCGTTCAACTTTTTTTTTTCTTTTTCACTTTTTTAATTATATTAAACTTATATGTACAATTATTAAGTTATTTCTAAATTTTTTAGCAATTTAAACTTGTATCAAACTATTTTTGAACTTGTAATATACTTTTTAGGACAAATTTTGAAAATCATCCCATTTACACAAAAAATCGCAAAAGACGACCTATTCTAAAAATAATTGTCAAAACTGACCTAGTTTCAGCTATCTGGCTGAAACTGAGTCGGTTTTGACAAAAAAACTCTGAAACTTCACGGGACTTGAAGTGCGATAAAGTTTAGCAGCCATTTAATTAAGTTACGTAACTTCTTCACGGGACTTCAAGTCCCGTGAAGACTGTTTTAACTACCAAGCTTCACGGGACTTGAAATCCCACGTCAGTCTCATTTTCCAGAGGCTCATCGGCTTCGTGCTGGTTGTGGGCTATATGATTTGAACCCACGAGTCCGTAACAAATTCATCGCGATTATCGAGCGAGGCCCACGGAATTTGTCGTCAGGTGGTGAAAATCAATTAATAAGGGCCGTTGGTTGTTGAGGATCTTCGACATTCTATGGTCAGTATTGAATTTAGGACTATCGGAGACGTTCGAATTAATGAACTCACCTCCAATAGTTGTCTTGCGGAGCTAGGTTTTCATGGGAAGGGTACAAATAGAAAGACGGATGATACAGCGACACGAGTCACGTTCTTTTGACGAGGAAGTTTCATAGTTTTTTATTAGCTTTTCCCACTTTGTATCTCACAGCTTCACGGGACTTCAACTCCCGTGAAGTTTCTTTGTTAAAAACTTCATAAGACTTGAAGTTCCGTGAAGTTACGCAACTTAATTAAATGATTGCTAAATTTTACGATACTTCAAGTCTCGTAAAATTTCAGAGTTTTTTTGCCAAAACCGACCCAGTTTTAGCCAGATGGCTGAAACTAAGCCGGTTTTGACAATTATTTTTAGAATAAGTTATTTTTTGCGTTTTTTTTTTTTTGAAAATGGGATGGTTTTTAAAATTTGTCCTACTTTTTAATCATTCTAAGTAGACAGCAACGAACTTAAAAGATCGCTGCTTTGTTTCGTAATGGGTCACAAGGCCCACGAGCCAAACCGATGCTCTTTTGATTTTGTTGGCATCTAGCTGCAAACCCAAAGGGCTAAAAAAACAGCCAGTTTAACCAAAAAATATATCATAGGCCCTAGTGGGCTAGGGCGGGTCGGGCGTGGGCCGGGCAAGCATGGGTTGGGCCTACTTCTTTGACCCCGGGTCTAGGATTAGACCCAACCCAACCCATGATCCTGATATATCATGAGCCGGCCCGACCCCGGCTTATTACCGGCCAAGCCGAGTCGTGACCCATAGTGGGCTAGGCCAGGTCAACCCACAGGTAAACCCTACCCGCGCCCAACGCTATTGGCTGTTGTGGTATTATAGTGATCGCTCCACTATCTCTTCTATTTATTTATTTACTTTATTTTTTATTTTTTATTTTTTGGTGCAATGTGGAGGATCCAAATCCTCCAACCACAACCTTTTAAGCAAATAAACTGGTGTGCATCATCTAATCGACAAAGATTTTACTAATCACAACATTTTAAGCAAATAAACTGCTATGCATCTTCTAACTGACAAAGATTATACTAATGAGGTAGAGAATAGACAATTGACCAAGAGAAAATAATGACCTGAAGACAAACATTTTTTGGTATTTTTGAGAAACTAGTATGCATCTTCTAATCGACAAAGATTTTACAAATGAGATAGAGAAAAGACAATTGACTAGAGAAATTATTTGGTATTTTTGAGAATCCTCAAAGAACCGCTTCCCTGGCAGGAAGTTAAAAAAGAGAGAAGAATAATCCAAGAAAAAACAAACCACCGATTGCCTTAAAGATACGAAGTAACGATGCAATAGATACAGACCGAAAGACAAAGGAAATGCTTTTGACACGATGCGTCACAAATTTCATCACAATCAAAACATTCCCTATATCATAAAATATAAATGGTGCAAGAATACAATTAATACATTTTCAGAATAACTAAATGCCCACCTTTTACATTCTATAGTAACAAAGCTACTATTTGCCTCGAGGAAGAATCAACTCACACAAAACATCAAAATCTCATTTATAAACATACAAAAATTACAGGATGCAGCTACTAGTTTTCTATTTTCCTTCTCCCCCAATAAAAACCAACTGCACTTCGATGCCAATTGCAATAAAAAAGCTGAAGCTGAAACGTCTAATCTGACTCAACAAGAAGAGAGAGACGAAGATAGAGAGAGAGAGAGAGGAAAGAAGGAAAAGAAAAGAATTCCCCTCTAACCGAAGAATAGGGGGGAAAAAGATACCACCACAATCTGATTCAGCTCGATCGGAATCTATATGTTTAACTTTGTCACAAACCAGGAGGGAAGTTGCTGACTTGCCCTTGTTCCAGCTTATCTTGGTTATCCACTTTATACGCTACCCGTATTCTCATGGCAAGTGCTTTCTGGAACAAAGAGAAATAACCTTGTTTGATATATCAATCAGAAGTGCGAAAAAGGGACAAGAAGATAGCACTTAGAAAACCTGTGTCTAAAGTGACAGCAAAATATCAACTTGGGAGGCCATAAGCTCACACAGGAATATAGAGACTAATCAGCAAAGACATACCTGACCATGCTGGCTATTTGTTACAGTTAGGGTTTGTGTAATGGACCCAGTGCCACTGGCAGGGAGAGTGCTGCTGCTGGCTGGATCCAGATGCAACTGAACAAACTGTTGAAAAACAGAGTCAAATGTTATGAATGGCATGCCATGCTCAAACGTAAACTAGAATACATCAACCATTATGAAATCGTAATCTTGAATCAGGTATATAACCATAATAAATACAAGGTCTAAATAAGCAATAAAAGGGAGGAAAACATTACCAAGAGAAGTATAACTGCATCATCTAAATGCGTACCAAGGTCTACAATAACATTTTCAATGAAACCTATCTTACAAACATGGACATCATGCTTTAAAGGCAAGGGGTTACAGGAATAACAGGAAGTATAAAAGACAAATAGGAGAAAAGGGAGCTGGGCATGAGGTGTAAAATGAAGAAAGAAGAAAGCAATGACACTGTACTGGAGATATCTATTCAAAAGTTTATGTTCTCCACTGTGAGATATTGTGCCAGACACCGTAAGATTTCATGATTTGACTGAGAAGTCCTATTGAAACTCGTAACCAACCAAAACTGTACAACCTCTTTAGAGATATTACTATATTTATCTATGAATTCACGACAGTTCCAGAGTAAACGTGCTAGTGCATCAAGATACTTTCAAGTATTACTTTCATGTCCCTAAGCAAATTAATAATTGAACTACAAAAGTTCAGAATTTTAGATGGAAGCTTGATTCTACAATATGCCAGAGTAAAAGAAGGAAATATATATCAGCAATGTAGATTTTCAAAGAGATTTAAAACTTCAAAAAACATGATTTCTGTCATAACACTTTTAACAGACCTCAGAAAAAGAATATATAGATTCATCGATATATCAAAGTTTACCTAAAACACACTAAACCCTGATCAAAACATTGTGTTTATTCATTATATTTAGGAAGTTAACTGGGCCGATCGAAATTAATTAGGAATACTCACTCACATGGGAAAGTCCCACAATAAGAGACCTCTAAGTACTTAAGAAAATTGAATTTAACTATCTGTACAGAAGTAGAAACTAATTGTCCTTACATCAAAGGAGCACTCTTTTCTTTTAACAAGGAGGCAATGATGCTTTTTTAATCCTTTTGATGAATCCATTTGAACCAATAGAATAATTATCAAGGCTTGGCCTAGTGGATGGGTACCCAGTTAGAATTTGTTTTCTGTCTCAAGCGATTTTTATTTCTCTCCAGTTTTCCTCTTCCTTTTATTTCCTAAAAGGGGGGAAAAACTCCCCTCCCTCTTTTGTCATGATGGATATAAATATGATATATTGAGCTGGTTAGGCAGTCTTTACTTGTCACATATTCTGAGAATTTAGTATTCACTATTTACTGAATAGAGCAGAATGCTGTAGAGAAATATAGAGCAAGAAGCAAAAGAACAGAAAACCCAGATATAAGAAACAAGGAAAATCAACCGTCAATTAATCAATCACTACTTATATTTCTTAAAAAAAATTCATCAAATAGTTCTGAGTAAACATAATAATATTTATAGAGTAAATATAGAATCTTAATTCAAGGAAGATCCCAGTCAGACAAAACTATAACCCAAATAGAGATAAACTATATAATAGTAAGCACATACAAGTTTACAGTGTCACCAACTGAATTGATTGAGAAAGTATGTTGAACATCAAAACAAAATATCAACTTTAAGCAGGAAAGAACAGAAGCTTTCAGAAAACTGTATGTCCACGCAGTGTGAGTTGTCATACCTTGGGAACAGCTGCTTGAAAAATAAAATCGGTGTATACATTAGCTGACATATTTGTAAAAGTAGCATTGATCGCTGTAACATATGGTTTTCCTGGCGGTTTTGTAAAGCTGAACATAATCTTCAATGCACTATTCTCAAAAGCAGTAATGGAGGGAAAAGCTGGATTTTCTGCTGCTGTTTAGAAAAAATTGATAATCAATTGTTTGATCATAAGTCTTACAGATTTAGAAACCAACTATGATATTCACCTGGCGCCAAAACAGGAGATGACAACCCATCCAGCAAATCCATTACTGGAGAAGCAGGTTGAGGAGGTTTACTTTGTTGTATAATCCCTTTTGTAGGATCCGAATTTGATGCTTGGGAATCCATTGAAAAAGCTGAAGACGGAGCTGTCAACAATCCCTCAAGTGGAGCAACCGATCCACTATTACCTTGGTTACTAGAACCATTGTTTGGCATTGGTGCATTATTCTGAGGTGGAGATGTTCCAATTGATAAAAGATCCATTAAAATATCTGATCCCCCAACCGGAGCAGCACCTTAAAGTACAAATGCCATCATGGCTTCAGTTTGCACTTTGAGAAGTAATAATTTGTAAAGGGAAATACAGCATTTGTTGACAAACAAAGCTTGCGCAAGTATAACCAACATGTAGCTCATGCTATAGCTAATAATAAGTTCAAAAAACATTTAAAAATCACTCAATCAGGAGAGTAACAGGAGTAATCACTGAACAAGTTATAGTAATTGCATTGCACGAAAACATCGCAAGTGAACAAGCCATATCGATAGAGCAACTTCACATACATAATTAAGCTAAATAATCTGGTCAAGTAGTCCAAGACGCTGGAACTATCATGGTAGCTTTCTTCAACAGGAAGCCAAGCGAAACTCAAGCGTGTGAAAGGAGACAGGATGCAAGAGGGGAAGACTAAGAAAGTCCCAAATACACTCACATTGAACATTATACATCCATCATCCATAGTTCAATAGCTGATCAGAATATTCTTGTTTATACGAGATGAATTCGCCTCTCAAGAAAACAGTTCATGGAGACTTGATGAAAACTCAATGCATGGGTGGTCACCTGGCTCTACTCCTATTTTGCTGCAGTCACTTATATTCACATGCTATAATCATCTATTAATTTATTATTATTTATTTTCAAGAGAAATTATATTTGATTAGTCCTGTATCACCTACCATGAATCTCTCTCACTTCTCCACGTTAATTTAGGTTCAGGTCAAAGCAAGAAAGATAGAATTTCCATCATTTAACAAATAAAAAGGGGACAGCTATAGAATAGTAAAAAATAAAGGTGCTTTATTCCACTCTTTGAAAGCTCATCCTGTTGTTTACATTAATAACCACTTTGTCCTATCTAAACAAAACTCGAAATTACCCAAAGTTTGAAATAAAGTATATTCTTTGGCATCTAGTACTTAGTGGTGATGGGGAATGCATGTACAAGAAGGATGTTCCATACCTCATGAAAGCACAACAGAACTTCTGTAATTCATTTATGCTTATTTGTAGTCCTTGTTAGTTGTTACTCTGCTAAGTATGATTTTATCACTTCTAACTGGTCCAATTACTGGTCTCAACCAGACATACCAAAATCATCTCAATCACTTACCTTTCGTTCCTCAATAGGACTTATTATGCATACACTTATCCCATCATTTTACCGTATTAACAATCATTCATCCCAATATTATCTGCTGCTACTATCATTTTCTACACAACTCTGAATGGTTAAATTCTATATCATTCTGATTAACTATTCTATAACTTCCAACTTAATCTTTCATTATACGTAACTACCTCAGCTAACAAATTTATGGCTACCCACAACAGAATTCAAGTCCTTGAATGATTCTAAACATGGCTTTCAAGCGATATACTCTTAAATTAAAGTTGACTGAAACAATGAGTAAGTTTATACAGGCCCAAAAGAAAAATCCAATGGAAAAATGTCTCTCAGATAGAAGTTCCCTTCTCCTATGTCCGATGGGCC